TTCTCAGTCATCCCAGTCATACCTAGTCATCCCAGTCTTCATCCCAGTTATCTCTAGTCATCCCAGTCATCTAGTCATCCCTAGTCATCTTGGTTATCCCTAGTCATCCCAGTCATTCCAGTTATTCCTAGTTATCCCTAGTCATCCCAGTCATCTCTCTCACTCTAATCATTCCTAGTCATACCAGACATGCCAGTCATGCCAGTCATCCCAATAATTTCTAGTTTTCCAGTCATCCCATTCATTCCCAGTCATTCTAGTCATCCCAGTTATCCCTAGTCCTTCCAGTCATTTCAGTCATCCCTAGTCATTTCAGCCATCCCTAGTTATCTCATTTTTCCAAGTTATCTCAGTTATCTCCAGTCATCCCTAGTCCTCCCAATCATCCCTAGTCATCCCAGGCATCCTAATTATCCCAGTCATCTATACATACGTACATATAACTTTATTTAAACATGGATTTAGAATAGCTCAAGAGAGCTAGTATCTCCGAGTATAATAATATTTAAGAAATGCAACAAAATTGATGAAGTATGAATGTATAAAGTTGCTACAAATGCACATATTATTAGTCTTGTCTTCAAAAAAAAATCTACACAGTAATATTTTGAATAGTGCATTTAAGAGCAATGAGAGATTCAGAAGTTGTTATGTTATCAGGCAACATATTCCATACTCGAGGAGTAGCATATCTGAATGACTGTAATCCATAGGAGGTTGTAGTAACTCTTGGTAGATCAGATTTTAGGGTACTGTACAGTACCGCAAATGATCCCGAGACCGCAAATGATCCCCAAAATGGACCGCAAATGATCCTCGACTGCAAATGATCCCCAAAGTCGACCGCAAATGATCCCGAAAGAAAAATGGGAATGACTTGGACTCAAGTTAGCGGATCATCATGTCGATTTTATTATTATTACAATAAGTCAGGTTAAAAGCTAAATTTTACTTCTCAAATAAATATATGAATAAAAACTAAATGAAAAAAATCATTCAAGAGTAAAAACGAAGTCGGTAGGCAACACACGACTTTTACCTCATGCTAAAATGCTGCTTGTTCCAATGACTTTTCTCCGGCTCTGGCGGGTAGATTATACCTCTGAGGAAAACGTTTTGACTGAGCAAATATGATTTTTGCCGGTTGTTTCATACCGAGAGGTCATGACACGCATTTTCTGCGGTTATTGTTGTTTCTGGTCGGCATGATTTGCCCTTTGATGCAAGAGCATTTCCTTTGACCTCTTTTGAAATGCAGTGCTCTTCATCGCCGCTAAATAAGGGTTTTAGGTTGTTTAATTTTCTCCTAAGTGCCTCCTGGATCCAAATAATCATAAGCGATTTTGTTTTAGTCCGTGAATGTGACGGTTTCTTACGATGTTTTGTCACGCGATAACTACTGCTTACCTGGCTTTGCGTTTCTCATTACCAGGTTTAGATTCCTGGTAACTGTCTTCAGCAAAGCACAACAAATGAATATACATAAAAACGCTAATATAACTATTCACAACACGTTCATGAGATGTAAGAAAGTTGCATGCCATTTCGAAATAAACCGAAACCTGAAAACATTGATAAATTCGGGGACATTTTGACTTGTGTTTATGTTAAATCATGTCTTGTTTCGTAACGGGCACCTAAGTTAGGAACAAATGTCTTGCGGTTTATCACGTAAAATTAACACTTCAGAAAAAATCAAAATGAAATATTCTGGCTGATTAATTTCACGCTTTCAAAAAGATCAGTAAAGTCAATAAAGCTCTTGTTAGGTGGAGGGTGCCCGGCTTTGTATTCCTCAGTAGAAAAGTTGAGCTTCTAGGCGTTAAAATAATTTTTCTGCGTAACGTCCTGCCTGTCTTAAATTTTTCAAAAGACGAAACATTCTTGAAAGAAAATAGAAAGCAATCGACAAAGGAAGAAGTATACGGTTAATACCACACCTTTTCAGATTTATTCCATTTTTTTTTTCGCCTTGTATAAACTGACCTGAGATGTAGCGTCTTCCTTCCCTTTTTCTTTAAAAGGCGAGAGAAAAAGGTTTCTTTTTTATAATCAGTCCTTTTATTGTAATCAGTCCCATAAAATCCATTCCATTCCTCAAGTTTTCACGGGATCATTTGCGGTCGACTTTAGGGATCACTTGCGGTCGAGGATCATTTGCGGTCCATTTTGGGGATCATTTGCGGTCTCGGGATCATTTGCGGTTGGGGATCATTTGCGGTACTGTACAGTTGTATGTACCTCTAAGGTTGTATGCTGTTGTTTGTTGTTCCATTAGTGATCTGAGATATGGTGGAGCAATTCCATAAAGATTCTTGTTCGTAGTGACTAGCATGTTCTTAACACGAGAAGATTCAAGATTCACAGAGCCTATTTTTTATTAAGTAAAGTTTCATAGTCAAGATTGCTATTCAAAACCATCCTTAAAGCCTGCTTATTGAATCATCACAGCTATCCCAGGCATCCCTAGTCATGTCAGTTAACCTAGTAATTCCAGTCATCCCAGTCATCTTAGTCATCCCAGGCATCCTAATTATCCCAGTCATCCTAGTCCCCAGTAGTCACCACAATCCTCCCAGTCACCCTTAGTCATCCCTAGTCATCCCAGTCATCCTAGTCATCCCAGTGATCCCTAGTTTTCCCTAGTCATCCCAATGATCGCAGACAACCCTAGTAAATCCAGTCATCCCAGTTGTTGCTAGTCATCCCATTCACCCTGTCAACCCAGTCATCTCTATTGTTCCTAGTCATCTCAGTCATCCCAGTCATCTCCAGTCATCTCCAGTCATCCCAGTTATCCCAGTCATCTCAGTTATCCCTAGTCATCCCTAATCATCCCAGTCATCCCAATGATCTCAGACATCCCTGGTCATTCCAGTCATCCCAGTCATCTCTAGTTATCTCAGTCATCCCTGTTGTTCCTTGTCATCTCAGTCATCCCAGTCATCCTAGACATCCCAGCCATCCCTAGTCATCCTAGTCAGCCAGTCAGTCATCTGTAGTCCTCTTAGGCATCCTAATTATCTCAGTCATCCCTAGTCATTCCCTTTATCTCAGTCATCCCAGTCATTTCTGGTGATCCCTAGTGATCCCTGTTATCCCTAGTCATCCCAGTGATCTGTAGTTATCGACAGTCATCACAGTCATCCTACAATATTCAACCTTAGTCATCCCAGTCATCCCTAGTCCTCTCATGTCATCCTAGTTATCCTATTCAATGCTAGTCATCCCTGGCATCCCAGTAATCCCTAGTCATCCCTAGTCATCCCACCCACACCAGTTGTCTTATGTATAGTCATCCCAGTGATCCCAAGTCATCCCTGTCATCCTAGTCTTCCTTAGTACATTGTATTCCTAGTAATTCAAGTCATCTCAGTCATCCTAACTGATCCCAGTCATGTCACCAATATTCCAGTCACCATAGACATCCCTGTTTTCCTTGTCGTCCCAGTGTCCCTAGTCATCCCAGTCACCTGAGGCATCTCTGTCATGCCAGTTATGCTACATGTAGTCATCCTAGTCATTTCAGTCACCCCAGTTATCCCAGTTCCCCATGTCATCACAGTCGTTTCTGTTATTCCAGTTATCCTAGTCATTCTTGACATCAGACCTAAGACATCAGACAATTCATTAGACATAAGACATCACACATCAGGAATTGAACATCAGACATCGGAGATCAGACATTAGACATCAGAAATAAGACATCAGATATAAGACATCAGAAATCAGACATCAGACATCGCACATCAGACATAAGACATCAGAAATAAGGAAATATTAAGCATTGAAACAAGAAACCAGAGACCAGAAACAAATTTTATCAGGAACTCCATGCGCTTTAGAGGAGCAATCGCATGGAACACTTAACGAACAAGGAAACAAGGGCCAAAACCTTGAAAGAATTTAAACGCTGTCTTGTAAAATTGATACCGATAAATTGAACTACGAACCAATCTTAGCTACTACTAAAAATAGAGATATCGGTTACAAATACTTTTAACAGTTTTAATTTTTAATTGTACATTTTCACGACTTATTTTAGCATTTTTAACAGCTTTTAATTTTTAATCGTACATTTGCTTTCACTACTCCTTATTTTTTTTATTTTGTAATTGTTGTATGCATGACCCCACCAGCAATGCTGATCTTTTTATCCTGCTAAAATAAAGTTCTTATCTTATTGTGCATTCCCTAACAGTTTCTTCTAATGAAAGAAAAAGAGTTGTTCTGTTAATGGAAAGTGTCCAAAATTCTCCATGCGGATTTGTTTGTGAATGCAAAGAAAGTTGATTTTTGCAAATTTCTGGTTAAAAATTAGGCCATTTTGAGACTCCAACCTTGAAAATTTTTATCGGAAATAAAAGGCTTTTGGTGTAAACAATTTACATCGCGTTTCTTATCTACCTAAAAGCTATATATGGACAAATAATGAAAGAAATCGATTTTTCAACTCTTGCCACAAAATGGAGATTTTTCTCGATTTTTCCTGACCATCGCTCTTAAACATCAGGCACCAGACAAGAAATCAGACATCGGACATCAGATATTAGAAATCATACATAAGACATCAGACACCATTAATAACAAATCAGAAATTTGACATAAGACATCAGCCGTCAGGCATTAGACACAAGACATCAGATATCAGACATCAGACTTAAGACACTGAACATCAGACATCGGATATCAGACATAAGACATCAGAATGAGACATTACGTCGGTTATCAGACACAAGACATCAGACATCAGTCATCAGACATGATGTCTTTTATCAGACACAAGACATCAGAATGAGACATGACGTCGGTTATCAGACATAAGACATTAGACATCAGACATGATGTCGGTTTTCAGACATAAGACATCAAACATAAGAGATCAGACATGACACCAGAAATTGCACATCACTTATTAGACATTGGAGGTCATATCTCAGACATCAGAAATCAGACATAACTCATTAGATATTAGAGATACAGAAGACATCAGACATCACATGTCTGACATGAGACATGAGACATCAGATATCAGTCATCAGACATCAGACGCTGACATCAGACATCAGACATCAGAAATCGAACATCAGGTATTGGACATCAGATGTCAAACATCAGATATCAGACGTCAGTCATCAGACATTGGACATTGAACATCAGACATCTGACATCAGATGTTAGAAATTGGACATCAGACATAAAAAGTCTGACATCAGAGATCAGACGCAGACATTGGACATCAGATATCGGACACCAGACTTCTGACATGACACATCAGAAATCGGACATCGGTCATCAGATGTCTGAAATGGGACATCAAACATCGGACATCGGACATCAGACGTCTGACATTAGACATGAGACATGAGACATCAGACATTGGACATCAGTCATGATGTAGGTTATCAGACATTAGACAAAAAACATCAAACCTCAGTCATCTGACATTAGACATGAAACATCGGACATCAGATGTATGACATTGGAAATCAGACATCAGACATTGGACATCAGATGTGTGACATCGGACATCATATATCAGTTATCGGTCGTCAGACATGAGACATCTGACATTAGACATCGGTCATCAGACTTCTGACATTGGACATCAGACATCAGACATCAGATGTCTGACATCGAACATCAGACATGAGACATTGGACATCAATCATCAGACATCTTATATCAGACATTGGACATTAGACATCGGACATCAGACATCTGACATCGAACTTCAGACATCAGACGTGAGACATTGAACATCAGACATAAAACATTATATATCAGACATACGACTTGAGATATCGGACATCAGGCATAAGACATCAGAATCAGACATTGAACATCAGACATAATTCTTTAAACATTAGACATCTGACATGGGATATCAGACATCAGACATTGGACATCAGTCATTATGTCGGTTAACAGACATCAGACATAAGAAATCAAACGTCAGACATCATCAAAGATCAGACAGCGTAGAACAGACATCAGACATAAGACATTTGATATCGGACATACCTGTCATCCCAGTCATCCCTTTTGTTCCTAGTCATCTCAGTCATCCCAGTCATCTCTAGTTATCCCAGTCATCCCTGTTCTTCCTAGTCATCTCAGTCATCTTAGTCATCCCTAGTCATCCTAATCACCCAGTCATCCCTAGTCCTCTTAGGTATCCTAATTATCCCAGTCATCCCTAGTCATCCCCCTTATCTCAGTCATCCCGGTCATTTCTGGTGATCCCTGTTATCCCTAGTCATCCCAGTGATCTGTAGTTATCGACAGTCAGCACAGTCATCCCACAATATTCAACCTTAGTCATCCCAGTTATCCCTAGTCCTCTCATGTTATCATAGTTATCCTATTCAATGCTAGTCATCCCTGGCATCCCAGTAATCCCTAGTCATCCCACCCACACCAGTCATCTATACTCATTCCTAGTCATCCCAGTGATCCCTAGTTTTCCTTAGTCATCCCAATGATCCCAGACAACCCTAGTAAATCCAGTCATCCCAGTTGTTGCTAGTCATCGCATTCACCCTGTCATCCCGGTCATCCCTATTGTTCCTAGTCATCTCAGTCATCCCAGTCATCCCCAGTTATCCCAGTTATCCCAGTCATCTCAGTTATCCCTAGTCATGCCTAATCATCTCAGTCATTCCAATGATCTCAGACATCTCTAGTTATCCCAGTCATCCCTGTTGTTCCCAGCCATCTCAGTCATCCCAGTCATCTTAGTCATCTCTAGTCATCACAGTCATCCCAGTCATCCCTGGTCATCCTAGACATCCTAGCCATCCCTAGTCATCCTAGTCACCCAGTCATCCCTAGTCCTCTTAGGCATCCTAATTATCCCAGTTATCCCTAGTCATCCCCCTTATCTCAGTCATTCCAGTCATTTCTGGTGATCCCTAGTGATCCCTGTTATCCCTAGTCATCCCAGTGATCTGTGGTTATCAACAGTCATCACAGTCATCCCACAATATTCAACCTTAGTCATCCCAGTTATCCCTAGTCCTCTTATGTCATCCTAGTTATCCTATTCAATGCTAGTCATCCCTGGCATCCCAGTAGTCCCTAGTCATCCTTAGTCATCCCACTCACACCAGTCATCTATAGTCATCCCAGTCGTCCCAAGTCATCCATCAGACATGATGTCGGTTATCAGACATAAGACATCAGACATTAGACATCAGACATGATGTTGGTTATCAGACATAAGACATCAAACATAAGACATCAGAGATCAGACATGACACCAGAAATTGCACATCACTTATTAGACATTGGAGATCATATCTCAGACATCAGAAATCAGACATAAGTCATTAGATATTAGAGATACAGAAGACATCAGACATCAGACATCACATGTCTGACATGAGACACGAGACATGAGACATAAGATATCAATCATCAGACATCAGATGCTGACATCAGACATCAGAAATCGAACATCAGATATCGGACATCAGGCGTCTAACATCAGATATCAGTCGTCAGTCATCAGACATTGGACATCAAACATCAGACATCTGACATCAGATGTTAGACATCGGACATCAGACATAAAAAGTCTGACATCAGAGATCACGCATTGGACATTAGATATCGGACACCAGACTTCTGACATCACACATCAGAAATCGAACATGGGACATCAGATGTCTTCACATTAAACATCGGACATCAGACGTCTGACATCGGACATGAGACATCTGACATCAGATATCAGACATCTTACATCATACATTGGACATCAGACATCAGACATCACACGTCTGACATCAGACATGAGACATGAGACATCAGATATCAATCATCAGACATCAGACGCTGACATCAGACATCAGAAATCGAACATCAGATATTGGACATCAGACGTCAAACATCAGATATCAGATGTCAGTCATCAGACATTGGACATCAAACATCAGACATCTGACATCAGATGTTAGACATCGGACATCAGACATAAAAAGTCTGACATCAGAGATCACACATTGGACATCAGATATCGGACACCCGACTTCTGACGTCACACATCAGAAATCGAACATCAGACATCAGATTCTGACATCGGACATCAGACGTCTGACATCAGACATGAGACATCTGACATCAGATATCAGACATCTTACATCATACATTGGACAACAGACATCGGACATCAGACTTTGGCCATCAGTTATGATGTAGGTTATCAGACATTAGACAAGACATCAAACGTCAGTCATCTGACATTAGACATGAGACATCGGACATCAGATTCATGACATTGGAAATCAGACATCAGACATTGGACATCAGATGTGTGACATCGGACATCAAACATCAGTTATCGGTCATCAGACATGAGATGTCTGACATCGGACATCGGTCATCAGACCTCTGACATTGGACATCAGACATCAGATGTCTGACATCGAACTTCAGACATCAGATGTGAGACATTGAACATCAGACATCAGACATAAAACATTATATATCAGACATACGACTTGAGATATCGGACATAAGGAATAAGACATCAGAATCAGAAATTGAACATCAGACATAATTCTTTAAACATTAGACATCTGACATGGGATATCAGACATCGGACATTGGACATCAGAAATTATGTCGGTTAACAGACATCAGACATAAGAAATCAAACATCAGACATCATCAAAGATCGGACAACGTAAAACGGACATCAGACGTAAGATATTGGATATCGGACATCGGACATCACACATAAGACATCAGCTATCAGACATAAGACGTCAGACATCAGAAATGGGACAGACTGATTTGAAAACAATGCTTTAATAATTATAATTATTTTGAAAGGGGACCATGTGACATTAGGGGCCAGTTCCTAGAATAAGTTCTGCTGCCGATTCTGCCGTTTTCGTTTGAACCCATACATGATTTCCATATTAAGTCTTTATTGTCCTTAAAGCTGTATCTTGTCCAGAAAACTGATAATGTAGTGCTTCAGGCAGTCTTGGTTAGCTAATGAATAAAATTCATTTTTATGTTTATTTGACAGTCAAGTGTACATCAGAGAACATGCAGTAGCCACAAAAGAAAAAGCACTAGTGGGACACAAGCAAAGGGAAACAGAAAACAAGAACAAAATGACTGTAAGTATAACTTTTATTTATGATTTCTGTGGCCTTTGATCAAAGACCTTTTCCACCTTACCTTATGTTTATTTGACAGTCAAGTGTACATCAGAGAACATGCAGTAGCCACAAAAGAAAAAGCACTAGTGGGACACAAGCAAAGGGAAACAGAAAACAAGAACAAAATGACTGTAAGTATAACTTTTATTTATGATTTCTGTGGCCTTTGATCAAAGACCTTTTCCACCTTACCTGCTTGTGAGGTACCAGGGAGCTCTACAATCTACGACGGTGACGGAAACGAATTGACGTCACTTTTAAAAAGAATTTGTGTTTTCAAACCTTGTTGCGTTTATTCCAATTTGAAAATGAAAACGTGTGAATCAGGGTAAAACGCAATGCTGAGCTCTTTTTGTAATTTTAAAGGCTACTTTCACGAAAACAGCGATTAAAGCAAAATTCGTCGATAGATTTTCTTTAAAAATTTCTATGCCACAATTGATCATTGATCTATAAAATCCCTGAATTTCGTGTCCATCAAAAACTTTTTAAGTTGTCTTACGTAGGCGCAAATTTGAGTGAATATTAAAGCGATCTCGGAGTTGTTGAAATTGTTTTTCCCATTCATTTCCATTCTTCTCAGGCAGGCATTCAATCGTAGTCATCCCAATCATCCCAGTCATCCTTAGAAATCCCAGTCATCCCATTCTTCTCGAACATCCCAATCATCCCAGTCATCCCCTGTCATCCCCATCATCTCTCGTCATCCTTAGTCATCCTCAGTCATCCCCAGTCATCCCTCTCATCCCAGTCATCCCGGTCATCCCTTTTTATGGCAATCATCCCAGTCATCCCAGCCATGCATGGTCATCCCAGTCATCCCTAGTCATTTGCAGTCTTCCCAGTCCTCCATAGTCATCCTTTTTCATCCCAGTTATCCCATTCATTCCAGCCATCTCTAGTCATCCTTAGTCATCCCTCCCAGTCATTCCAGTTATCTCAGTCATTCCTACCTATCCCAGGGATACATACATACATCCCGACGGCGTTAGCGACGTTTCCTCTTTCTGGAGACTTTCGATCACGTGCTAGGCAACCGCGAAATAGATCAAGTTTCACCGATGTTCATTTCTGAACATGCAAATACATGGGACGCAAAACAAATTTTGCAGATTTTGTTCTTTAATAACCGAAATAAGTTATTTTTGATTCCTAAAGTTTGTTTATCAAAATGTATATTCTATTGCTTGAA